TACTATTGCTTGTACTCTCACCTACTTTTGCAGAAACCCTTGAACTTCTTGTTCCAGTAGGTTCTGAATAACAAGGCAGATAATCTCCAACCATTGACCACACAAGACAACATTACTTCTGAAACTGGAAAGGAAATGAACAGTTTATGGGGAGTGTGAAAATGTGAAGTCTAAGAGAAGTCTGAGGGAAGGAAAAGAGAATAACATTTATTCATTACCAGAACTTCTCACTTAAGTTTCTCTGTTTCAAGAAACTGTATGTTTCTCTGTTGCAAGTTACAAGAACATTTCTAGAATATTGGAAACAACAATAACTAACTTGTCTGAAGATGTGGGTTATCTGGACCAAGTAAGCTTAAGAAATATTACCTGAGCTTCTGAGGGCATCAATTTCTTAAATGATAAGAAAGAACTAGAAAAAATAGTAAAGCACTGCAAAGATTTTCAAAGAAATAACATGATTAAATTTGGATGAATATATGCTACAATTTCAGTTCAGAGTTATATGAATATAAAAAATTTCATTATCATTTTATTGGTTGACATTGTATTGAATGGATTTCTATTAGAGTCAGTTTAGTTTAAATAATGGTAATGTAACCTCGCTTTAACTTCTGAAACAAGTAGGGAAAAAGGAAAAGTAGGAAGAGCATTGTTTTGCTGTTTTTCAGAGTCCTTTTCTTCCCTTCTTCATTGATAAGTATATCCCAGTGAGGTATCATGAGCTATTGCAAGATTCCCATGGTCAAATTCTGCTTCTGCTCCTTAAAATTTCAATTTTAAAATTAGATTTAAGTAGGGCTTCTGAGCCAGAAGGCAATCATTAGATAGTCAAATTGAGTCTTGTTTTTTCCTTCCTATGCACTAATAGCATCCTGTAAATGTCCATTATAACATTTAAATGTAAATTATTAGTAAATTTAAAAATGAACAAAATAATCTGCTGATTTATACTCATAAGTTTATAAAAGAATGGTCTTGCATCAGTCACTCACCATTATTTATTTACTTTGTTATTTACAATGTTTTCTGGGTATGTCATTCAAAAATAGTCACTAAGTAAACAAAGCAGTTTTCCCTACAACACTAAAACAAAAAAGAAGTTTTTGAAAGTTCAGCGGTAAAACCTCCCTTTATTTCACTTTTACATATGTTCACCTAAGATAAAATGTGCTTGCATTTTTCACCTTTGGCCTAGCCTGTAATAAGTGGTATTTAACAGAGCACATTTGCTGTAAAGAACTCTGTGAACCATTCAGTTCTCATCAGCATGACCCAAATACATGAGCAATGTCTCCAGAAATAGCCACTCCAGTTTGTAGCACAGACAGACTGGACATCAGTCTGTGGACTTCTCTTCCTGGCCTTACTCTGGGGACTAGCAATGGAGTTATTGGTAAATGTAGAGCAAATGGAAACTATACAAATGGAAACTCAGGGTGAAAAACATGGACCTGCTCTGAAGGCTTGTGGAAAAGGGTTCTCAATTTGTATTGATGAACTCATTTATTATATCATAGTTGAATGATAGTTAAAAATTAAAAGCTACTGAAATGCCCATTCAATACACATAAAGTTTTAAAGAAAATTTACTTCATAATTCCACACATTCAATGGAATAAAACAAAAGCCAACTAATTTTGCATTAGTATTTCCTTTATAATGATTTTTCCTGGCTCTGTGTTTATCTGGAAAATAAGTTGGAACCATATTTTAAACCCATGTTAATTGGGGCATTCATGGGTGGATGGATTCTAGGTAATGCTAGAATATATTCTAATAATTAAATTTAGCTAATTGCATTGTTTTTCATAATTTATTGACTCATTGATTAATCCCTTTATGAACAACAGCAACAATCTCAGGCTTCGAGACAATACATCTTATTTTAGAATGCTGAGTATGATGGGAGGATCATACAAGGCTTTCTCCTCAAATCGTTAATTTCATATATTCTTTAAAATATGAAATGTGAATGATCAAGCATTATAGAAATGAAGCAATTTATAAAAACTTGCAGTTTTCAACATGGTATTTTGTATTACTTATTAAATAGAATTTAAATAAAGTAACACTACCTCCTATATTTTTTTGTTTGTTTTGTGGTGCCAGGGATCCATCCCAAGACCTTACCCCTGCCAGGCAAGAATTCTACCACTGAGCCTGTCCTGTGTGTTGAATGTTGTCTCTCTTCTGTATTTGTTGTGTATAGGTCACATTGCTAGTCAGGATATCTCAATCATAGCTCAGTCACCTCTACAACTCCACGTGCTTTATTAAAAATGTACTAAATATATTAACATGTATTTAAAACTAAACATTCATTATTAAAATTACCTTCACTGCCTACATTTTTTAATTCATTTTTCTTTATCATTACCTTAAGGCACACTGATTAAATAGTCTTTACACGTTGTCAAGAGTCCATTATTTTTACTTTTGAATTTTCATGTTAATTTTGAATTTTCATCTATCATAAATGATAGATTTTTAGAAAAGAATCTGAATTTGACATGAGACAGACACATGTACAAATCTGTGTACCATAATTTAGTTATTAATTGTGTGACTATAGTCAGTTTCAGTATTATATTTTCTTAAATAGGACTTGAACATAAATATTATATAATATCTATATATCTGTATTTATCAGGTATATACACACTAGTGGTGTGTGTGTGTGTGTGTGTATGCGTGTGTGTGTGTGTGTGTGTTTGTGTGTTTTATTGATCAAAGAAGTCTCTACCATCAAACTGAACTAATCATCAGGGAATAATCTCTTAGTGTTAAAAGCAAAGATATTCATAGCATCATTTCCTGAAACACAGGCTCTAAGCCGTATCTTCTGTTTGGTTTTTAGAGTTGCTCAAAAAAGTTAATTAAAATCCACCTGCAGATTCCAGCCTCAGACCATGCTTGCAGATTTCTGTACATACACATGAGAACTTAATTTTCCTCTTCCTGCCTTTACTCCTGGTTAGAGCTGAGTAGAGGCTTCTCCATGGCTACCCAATGCTGGCCACATAATCCACATGCTCAGATTAGATGCCTGAAACTACACAATTGATCTAAGTCTCAGACTCCACGTACCCAAGAAATGAGTTTCTATAATTAATCCCATAGTACCTTATTTTTTGTTATCCTCTGTGGCCATAGCCCAAGGGCTGTGTCTGAAATGTCACACTTAGCTACAAAAAGGAGTCAACAGCTGTATACTTTGATGAATTTGTGCACTTTGGAGAATATTTAAGGCTGCCTATGAGGCAAATTAATTAGTTTTCTTCAATTTCAGATTGCTATTCCTATTTTCATTATTGTAAACCTACATTGCTCAGCGTCTTATTATACTGCAGATCTGAAAGGACAAGTTATTTTTTTTTAATAAAAATATATCCTGTTACTATGAGTGGAACTGTGGCCTAGATATACAACCCAGTGTATACTATATTTTCACTGTCAGAAGGTTTTTTTTATTTATTCATTGTCTATCCCACTATCTCACCTCAGTTTTGGGTTTAACTCACTTTCTGGCTTTCTAGCCACATTTCCTCTGTGTGCCACGCTGTAGTTGTCAACTAAGCCATAGTTCAACACTCCCAGCTCCTGTGTCCCATTCCTGTCTCTCAGAGCATAGCTTTCCTTGGAAATTTTAGCTACATGCTTATAGATCAAGATGTTTCAGACCCACAAAGTCATGAGAAAATATCAGAATTAAATTATTCAAGATATGCAAATTTATAGTTTGCAAATTGTTTCAGAAAAGCCATCATAATTTATAATATCTTAGCATTATATACTTGAGTATACACGACCACTGTGAAAAATGAACCCAAAATACTATAATAATAATAATAATAATTTGCTTTTTTCTATGGAGCCATTTGATCTAAACAAATTACAGCCAGTAATAAACCATATTTATCTCGTAAAAAATTCACTCAGAACATACACTGTGTAAAATTCAGTGATGAAATGGCAACAGATTAAATGAATCAGAATTAATGAATGATTCAGATAGGAGGCTAGAAAACAGTTAAAATAGCTCTAGTAATCACACATGATTTGACCAAATGTGGTCAAAAAAATTAAAGGTGAGAAGAAATTTAAAACATCATTTTAAATTACTGTGCATGTATTATGCAGCTCAGTTTATAGCAAGAGCTCTTAGTTCAGTGTTACTGTTAGTTGTATTTAAATCATTGTGTGATCTACCTAATGCTTCCCTAAACTTAATTTTATGAAAACATATGAACCCCAAACAACTGGCATGCTACAAAAGCAAAATAAATGTTATCATAATCTACTCAAGACCAAAAGGGTTTGTGATGTGCTTAATTTTGTGACAAAGTGAAAATGTTAGGTTTGTTAAATGGTGGCATGTTTTCAGTGGAAGCTGAGTGGTGTTATGGAAAAAATGAATCAAGCATCTTCAGTACAGTACCAAACTCTGTGCATCCTGAGCACCCAGATTTTCTGAACAATGGTGGTCTCCTTGAAGCCATATGCCTATGGACACTAAGGGTCTATTGCACAAGGTACAAAAGAAAATGATGAGCGTCTTGAAAAAGTTATATGCAAGTTTGACTTGGGCAATTAATTATAATATGCATGCACTTCCAAGGGAATCAAAATTAATAAAAAATATTTGGAAACTATATCCATTTTCTTTTACCAAAAGGAAATAATGGTATATCAAATATTTATCTATTATTGAAAAAATTATTGAAAAAGTTTAAGGAAAGAAAAGTAGAAAGAATGTGAGATATAGGAAATTAGTGAAAGATAGCTTTCCTTAAATAGATATTAAAAATAGTTAAGAGATTGATGTATGTAATGTGAATGATGGTAGTTCTAGTTTTAATTCTGCTCTGATTTTGTGGTAGGTGCATAATCAACCACATATTTGGGGAGTACCCATTTTAAATTGATTTTTCCAATAGTTACAGCTAAAAATCCAAAAATAAACATTGTTGAAATTGCTAGTATCATTTTCCCTAATACTAAGGAAGCAATTTTTGGCTAATCATTTTTCTAAAGGCATTTTTGACATCTTTGTTTCTTAGACTATAAATTAGGGGGTTTAGCATAGGTATGACCAGTGTGTAGAACACAGAGGTCACTTTGTCAATATATAGTGTGTGACCTGTGCTGGGGCGCAAGTAAATGAAAATCAGGGTACCATGATAAATTATGAACACCATCAAGTGGGACGCACAAGTGGAAAACCCTTTTCTTCTTCCCTCTGCAGAACCTGTTTTGAGGCTGGCTGGTATAATACAGACATATGAGAGGAGAACTGTTAGAAGGCAGATGGCTTCAACCAGACTTGCAAAGACCACCAGAATGATGTCATGCATGTAAGTATCACCACAAGATAGAGAGAAGAGTGGGGAGATATCACAAAAGAAATAGTTAATTTCTCTGGAGCAGAATGACAGTTGAAAAGTATTAGTTGTGTGAATAATTGAGCTCATAGTTTCCCCCAAAAATGCTCCAAGAGCAAGTTGGTAACAAACCCTTGTGGACATAATAGCAGTATAAAGCAGAGGGTTACAGATTGCTATGTATCTGTCATAAGCCATGGCAGCCAACAGGAAAGATTCTGTGTCAACCAACGAGCAGAAAAAATATAACTGTGCAGCACAGCCATCATGTGAAATGGCCTTCTTCTCAGAAATCAAGTTCACAAGTAATTTGGGGGCAATGACAGAAGAATAGCATGCATCGATGAAGGACAGAATGCAGAGAAAAAAGTACATTGGGGTGTGCAGTTGGGAACTGATTATCATTAATAAAATCATCCCAAGGTTCCCCATGAGAGTAATGGAATATATACAAAAAAACCACAAAAAAAGAAGATTCTGAAGTTCTGGATGGTCACTAAATCCCAGCAGAAAGAACTCCTTCTTCACAGTGCCATTCTCCAACCTCATTATCCACAGTGCTTCTGGGTTTCTGGAATTAGAGCAGAAAAAAGACACTGACAGAAGAAAAAGAGAACAAAAGAAGCAAGGTCAAAATAAATAGGATAGTGATTATAAATACACTTGAAGATCCTGATATCAACAAGGCATGTCTTCAGTTAGTGCAGTTTCATGAACATGTTTTCAATTTTCTTATATTGAATCAGGAATTTACTACATGTCTGGTTAAAGCTAATATTTGCCACATTAAATATCACTATTTTCAAATCAGTTTCAGAACTTTGAAACTGGGCAAATATTTTCCTTATTTCATTAACTCTGTCAACAAGCATCTTTGTCAACTCATCATGTAGAATGACTTTTTTTTTTTGCAAACTCTGAATAAAGTGTCTTATTTCTGTTATCTTGTTTATTTCTAAGGCATATTAAAATGCTGCTGTTCCATGTGAAACCTTTTGGGTAAAGGAATAGAACGTCTACAGTTCTAACTTTGAAACACGTCTTTTGATCATTCCCTCTGAGAAAGCAAGGAAGTCCTTGGAGTTGTTTGAAGCCCACTTATAAAAACAGAGCAAAGAGTTTGCATTACTTGCTTCAGTGACTGATTTCTAGGTCTGTTCCTCAGGAACAAGGAAACCTCAGGCAGGGCAATTGCTCAGCAACTTTCAGTTCCTTCACCTACAATATGTAAATGGTACTAGTTCAATAAATTTCCTCCCACTGCCTCTGTATACTTGCCATCTTCGTCACACAGTGCTTTTGAGTGGCAATACAGCATTTCTGGGTAAATTAAGACATCTATTTTCTTATTAATCTGTATGGAGTATTTACTTTACATGCTTACTAATTTGTCACATTCAATCCAGGCATGAACACTAAACATAGTCAGAAATTTTTCCGTGCTTTCTGAGGTTTATAATTATTAAAATAATTGAAATAGGATGCCTATTTATTCTTTTAGATTACTGTTGTTCGTCATTGTCCTTGGTCTATTTGCAACTCTGTTAGCTGTAAATAATCAGACACAATGTAATTACACTTAATCATATGCATTTTGTCCAGTGTGCAGATAATTGATTTCCCCTCCTCTACCCATGTAAAACACATTTTTGCAGTTATTTGAAATATATTTATGATTTCCCTATTTTTAAAATTGTGGGTAAAAAATTCCTTTTTGTAACAATTGCACAAGTTTCATCAACAAGTAAAGTAAAATCATTGAACAAAACATTTTGTATTTATCAGAGTCACAATTTTAGGGGTGTGTGTGTGTTTGTGTATATAGACATATATACAGACATATGCTTATTCTTTTATAGTTCATAAGACATAGTCATTTCCCTCATGGAATATTGACAGTTATTTTAAGCCTTTACTATTCTATGTAAGACATTATTTTACAAGTGCCCTCTCACTTTGAGAAATTAATTGTTAATTTTCAGAGAAAAAAGTAAACAGAAAGCAAGTGTACCTTGTTTATCTTTCTCTTGAAATAGTTGAATATGGCAGTGGCTCTCTCTCCTTCCTTCTCTCTTGTTCCAGTCTACCCAAAATATAGCTCCACCATTTGAGATTAATCTCATTAACTATGCTTACGTCAGTAAAAGTTTTTATAATAATTTTTAGTAACAATTAGAAAAGTTCTTACTAATAATCTTTCAGCAAGCAATGCTTTTTCTTAGTCTTCTTTCTTTTTTTAGTGTATATTAAATGTATAAAATAATGGGCTTTATTGTGACATTTTCATACATGAAGATAGAATACTTAGTTAATATTCACTCCCATTGCTCTCTTTTGTCCCCATTATCCCTTCCACCTAGTCCTCATCTCTATTAGTCTTCTTTCTACTTTCTTGTCTTATTTTAATCTAGATCCTGCACATAAGTAAAAAACATGTTACAATTGTCTTTCTGAGTGTGGTTTATTTTGCTTAACATGATGATCGATCTCCTTTTCTATCCATTTTCTTGCAAACAACATCATTGCATTGTTCTTCATTACTGAGCAACATTCTATTGGGTAAATACCTTATTTTCTTTGATCATTCATCCATGAATGGGCAACAAGGCTGATTCTATAACTTAGCCATTGTAAATAGTATAGCAGTAAACATGGTTGTGTGGGAGTCTCTATTGTATACTGCCTTTGATTCCTTTGGTTGAATATCCAGCAGTGGAATATATGGTGCTATTGTTTATAATTTCATGAGGAACACCCATACCTATTCTCATGGTAGTGGACAGATTTACATTCTCACAAACAATGGAGAATTTTTTTTGTTTTTGTTTTTGATTTTTATGCACCCTCATTAGCACTTGACATTTTTTGTTTTCTTCATGCTAACCTTCTTGACTGGAGTAAGAATGAATTTCAATGTAATTCTGATTTGCATTTCCCTGATTTCTAATAATGTTGATTTTTTTCATTTATTGATCATTTGTACATTACAGCTATCTTTTTAGTTCACTTGCCCATTTATTGATTGGATTTTGTTCTTATGGTGCTTAAATTTTTGAGTCTTTCATATGTTTCAGATATTAATACTCTGTCAGAGGAATAGCTGGCAAAGATTGTCTCTAATTCTGAAGGCTGCCTCTTCATTCTGGTATTTGTTTAAGTAAATTTTTTCTTTAATAATATTATCCTTTATTTATTTCCCTTCATTTACTTTAATTTCTTTACAGTGTTTTACTTTAGGCAGCTATGCTGGTTTCCTCATCCTTACTTCAGTCTAGTGAGAGAGTAATCTTGTTGAAAAAAACCTCACTAAAATTATTTTATACAATGTCAAGAATTACAGTCTAGCTGTCAAATCATACAATTTCCACTTGCAATTCATTTCATTTTCTACACAAAGTGATAGAACCTTCTTAAAATTGTCATATCTCTTGGCTTCTATACAACTCTTTTGATATCTTTCCAGAACCCAATGTATTCGTACTCAGTCTCCTTCACATGAGGTGGCAATTTCTCAAGGCCTCATTCTTAAGTCTCTCCTTACCAACTACATTCTTCCAAGGTAATGCTAAATTTTTAAGATGCCACCTATAAATATGGAGAGCTTTCAATACACATTCCAAACTTTTCTTTTTATCTCAAAACTGTTATACAAAAAGGCACATAATGTATGTTAATTCTAAAATAAAATATAGTTGGCATCACTTCCTACAATATGTATACCTATTGTGTAATGACTATCTTAGTAAATATTTTTACCATGCCCACTGCTGTAATAAATTTTTAAAAACTACCCCACTGAAAAACTAACTAGGATTCACTGATTCAATGTTTGAAATGTGAGTAATGCCAAACTTTCTGCTACATTGTTACTGACATTTCACTTTTGAATGTCATACCTCTTTTTACTCATCTGCATCTCTTAATTTGTTTCTTTCATTCCAGTCTCTATTTCAAGTTATGCTACAAAAGCTAGTTACATTTCATTTTAGTTTTATTACAAAACATATTTCTTTTTTCTGCTTTCTTACTTATGCCCTGAAATAATTCTTTGTCTCCTATAATCTCATATTTCAATATCATAATAATTGACATCTATTTTTCATTTCATCTCATATGCTTTAACCCATTCCTAATATGACATAATAACATTACCAAAATCTTAAATTCCTGCCATTTTCTCACACTGGTACAGGTTTTTTAAAACAATACTGAGCAATATTATTTTAATTATGCATCATTTATAGTAAATGACAAGATTTTAGCTGTCTGTAAACTTATTGTCTGGGTACAGAAAATGTAATAAAATAAAATCCAATAAAGATTGTTGTTTCTGCATTATCAAAGTTTTTTCCTACATTTGTCTTTGTAGATAGGTAGATTAAATATGGCATACCTGGCAGTTATATGTCTTATAATTTTCAAATACTGGTCAGTTCTCACAGCTCTTTACAAAAAGAGCAAGGGCTGATTTTCTCTCAATATTTGGATACAGGATTGCAGTCAAATTATAAAGCCCAGAGCTACACATCTTTCTGATAAAAGAATGATGGACTGAGATTAGAAATTTTATATGACTAGGTTATTCCACTGGCCAACAAGTATTGCCTCCTCAGAAATAAGGCAAAAATGCTGATATTAAAAAGATTAAACTGTTTCATTTTGTCCTGAAAATTAAATGTACTAATTTTGATATGGGAGTATTAGTTTTAAACCTAATATAAATTTTCATTTAGTGAACATGTTAAAATGTTCACTAAACATTTGCTCTTCTAGGAATAGAGACAGACAGGTGATTAAAAGCATAGTCCTGGAGCCAGTCTGCTGAGTTTGAATTCTGACTCTGGAACATATGTTTGCGTGCCTTTGTATATATCTTGTATAGTTTTATGGTTTCATTTTCTAATATACAACTTTTATAGATGATTTGGCTCTAGGGTTACGATGAGAATGAAATGAATTAGCATATGTAGCATACTTTAAAAAGTACTTTTCTTATCTCACACCTTTAGTAAGTATTATTAATATTCACACATTGAGGTAAGTTTGAGCTTCTCTAGACATTAAAATTTACAACTGATCAGGATGCTAATGAAAATGTGCAATATCCAGGTATAGATTAAAATCTAAAATAAATTTTTTTTTATTAAAAGAAGAAGACAGAATCATTGAGCTACAGAACAACTCTATGAATTTCTTCTTCCTTCATATTTAGGTGATTTCATCCATAGAAAATGTCAACTCTCATGGAGTACTTACCTTTCCATTCCTGTGGACACACATGAAAGACAAGGCTATGAACTCACAAAGGGTGGAGTATTGACCACTGCTTTGAAGGACAAGAAATATCCAGTGGCTCTTTAGTGGAAGTGGGATGGAAGTGCTTGTGTGGTCTGCATTCTCTATTCTGGTGGTTATGAAAGATGACCTTTCCAAAAAGGAGCTCATCATTAGGGCCAGTGCTTAAATGGCTCTGGCAAGGCTGTCAAGGTAAAATAACTTGTTTGCTTAAGGTGTTTGTTCTAATAGAGATCCTTATTTCTGATCACCAAATTAAAGATACT